TCTATAAATATGGATCCGTCGACCGGTTCTATGAGTCGGAACAGCGCCAGAGTTAGCGATGACTTTCCGGCACCCGTTCTGCCGACTATTCCCACCTTCTCTTTGGGCCGAACTTCTAATGTAATCGCTTTGAGCACTAAATCCAATCCTTCTCTATATCTAGTGCTGTATTCAATAAACTTTATTTCTCCCCTTTCGGGCCAATCATGAGATGGTTTAGTCTTCTCGTCGTACCCCTCGGCCTATCAACCAATTTAAAAACTACATGTAATTATTTATTCAAATAAGTTATGGCTATAAAATATTTTAGTATTAATTACTTCTGTCGGAGTTTCTGTGTATTCAAGACATCTCTCAACCGAAACGATATTAGTTTCAAGATCTGACGCCGATTTCATTAATAATTTCAAACTTCGAGTTATATTAAGTGCATAACTAATAGCCAGACCCGCAATACCTGGACTTAATTTGAAACGATAATAAACAGTAAATACTATCGTTAAGAATACAATACAATTGCCTAATAATTCCAGTCTAATTGCAAACCATTGGGAAGCTGTAAAGCTTGGATAATAACACATATGGTTTGCATCGACTCGTCTATTGGACTCCTGTATGAACTGATCGGACACTCCATACGCTCTAATACTTGCGGAACCGCTAATTGTTTCACTGAAATGACTATAAATAGGGGAACGAGTGGTCGACTCAATGCGTTTGAGTTGACGAGAGCTCCGGATATATATCTTTTGAATGAAATAATAAACAAAAAATAGGGGAAGGATTGCCGTCAATATTAGCGGTGTTTGAAATGTAATGAGAAAAAAGGCGGCAAATGTTCCCAAAACCATTGATATTGTCATTCGAAGACTGAATATAAGAGAAACGTCGACTGAATCCATGTCTCGACTGAACCGATTCAGGATTCTTCCAATCGGTGTCGTGTCTGGAAAATACATTTATCAATACTTTGCTAAATGTGAACAATTTTCTTACCGAATAAAAGTATTGGCGCTCTTATAATCCTATCTAACATAATGTTATGCAAGTGTTTCGAAGCTCTTAGACATCCATAACTGATAAATATATCAGACATATAAGTGAAAACAGTGTCAAAGACACCGATTCCGGCGTAAACTCCGAGTCTTAAGTACCGAAGATTTGTGTCATTTATTTTATTGGCGTCCAGAGAGTCGTCGGACCACTCGCTCAGCCAAAGGCCCGATAATATCTGAGTCATTGTTGAGGCGACGGAAGAAATGATAATTATTGAACAAAATAAGAAACCGATTAAATGGATATATTTTGCATAGATTTTGAGTTTAATAGAATTCGTTTCTGATCTCTCGGTTTCGGTTAACTTTCCACTCGTTTTAACTAATAATTGTTTTTTAATAATATTTTCTTCTTTTATACCATTTAATCGTTTTTCTCTCAAATTAATTAACGTTTTCTTCATTAGATGTTTCCATTCATCTCTAACGCCGGACCCATAGAATCCTCCATTTGTTTGGTTAATAACTTTTTTAACCAAAAATTTCATTCTATCTCTTAATTTATTAATAATTTTTTTCTCTTCATTTTCGAGTTCATTGTCCGACTTTTCCAACAAATATTCGGCAACAAATTCGGCAAAATAACCATTTTTTGAGATTAACTCTTCAAAAGTTCCCGATTCAGAGACGTAGCCATTCTTTATGACCACAATTTGGTCCACATTTGGCAAAATTGAGACACAATTTGTAACCAAAATCCTTATCTTGTCTTTTAATAAACCGTTTCTTCCAATAGTTTTATCAAACAAATGTTTGCCCACATGTGTGTCCACAGCGCTATACAAAGTCAGATAATTTAAATAGTTTTCTAATTAACAATAGTAATGAATACCTCAACGGGTCGTCGAGTAAATAGATATCTCGGTTGGAATAGACAGCCCTCGCCATTGAAACCCTCTGTTTCTGACCGCCGGACAAATTGATACCTTTTTCG